AGTAAGCTTTGCACAAAAGACCTGAACTCTGTTCTATGATTAACATCATTTTTGTACATTTATAAGAGAGTTTGTAGAGTTTCCAGAGGCACCTGGTTTAGGAAGCAGATGCCACTCCTGCTTCCCAGAATGAATTAATCTGGAAGCTCATCCAACCATTATACATAGCAGGTAACCATTATGGTATTTGACATGACTATGGGATAGTGTTCAGCATTGCAGCAACTCCAAGTTGTTCAGTACAGCAAATAGACAACTGATTGCTGTATCTTTAAAAAATCTTCTAAAATTAATAAATTTTGCCAGAGGGCAGCAGGCCCTCAGGCCATACGGGATTTTAATCCACACCCTTGAGCAAGGTTCAACCCTTATTCTTAATCTAAGGCTCAAGGGCCACCCCCTTTTGAGGGGGGGGTGAAAGAACAGTAACACACTCCAAAATGGACCCCAGAAACTTCCCTTGCCTGACCACCATCAAGACAAAACCACCACTGGGACAACCACCAGCCAGCCAGCTGCCTTCCAGAGTAAAGGGAGACTCCAAGGTCCTGGGCCCCAGGCCAGCCCACAGACCCATGGCCTCATCAATGATTTTAAATCCACACCCTCCAACAGGGCTCCACCCTTACCCTTAGCATAGAAAAACTAACAGAACTCAAATGGAAGTCAGCTTTGCCATGGATGTCTTCTGCTTTATTCTCATCATTATTTAATCCTCACAATAAAACCTCTTCCCTTTAAGCCCTAAACCCCTACCTCTGCAAGCATAGTGACAATTGTAATTCCCAGGTTTAAAGAGGCCAAATATTTTCACAAAATTGTAGCACTGATAAATGTTTCAAGCTAAGATTGAACCCCAGGTGAGTAGATAAATAAATAGGATGAAGGGAAAAGAAAGGTAAAGATTTGATGAGGTGTTAAAATAAGTGGTATTAATAACTTATAATTAATATTAAAAAGTAAAATGTATATGAATGATTGAATGGAAACCAATTAAAAATATTGAACCAGTTTATCATTAGATTTCACATTTTTGCACTGTAAGCCATTTTCAACAGATAGCTCAACGAGTTTCAGTTTTCCCTTCCCTAAAACTTAAAAAATACATGTGTGCATATGAATGGTTTTGGTTTCTATTTTGATAGTTTATTTTCTTATTTAATTGTCACATAGACCCTTCACCCCTTAAAACAAATAAAAACCCAAATCCACTGCCATTCAAGTTGAATCCAATTCATAGTGACCTTCTATCAAATTTCCCAGGCTGTATACTTTTATTGTAGGAGAGTGTCTATCTTTCAAACTGCTGGCCTTTCAGTTAGTATCCTGACACCTCTAGTGCTCCTTTTAAGATGGACACAGATTTGGAAATCAGCAGTAAGTAATTTTTTAATGAACTATTAGTCAATATGATACTTATGTGCCTTCTACTGTCTACTTCTAGTTCAGTCATATAATTGTTTAAGCTTCTTGTGTCTAAGTTTATTAATTATCTATTAATATATGGAACATGAGGGCACTCTGATGGCTTATGTACTCGAAAGTCAGAACTGACCCATTGCTAACCTTCCAGCAGTTTTTCAGAGGCAGTTAATCCCACAAGAGATGGCCCATCCTTCTGAAGAGCAGCTGGTGGCCTCGAACCATGTGCCCTCAGGACTGCAGCACAGCTTCTTCCCAGTAGGCCACCAGAGCTCCATTCTGGAGGCTTGTTGTTGTTGTTGTTCTTCTTGTTATTTGCCATCGAGTTGCCTGCAACTCATAGAGACCCTATGTACATTAGCTCTGATCCCTACCCTACCCTGCCGAATCTCGTTGTCTCTGACAGACCTAATCCCATTTCTCCAGTCACTGAGTCAATCTATCTTATCTTGGGTATTCCTCTCCTGTGCTGTCCTTCTACCCTTCCAAGCATGATTTAATGATAAGGAATTTCACTGCCAACACAAAGGTTTGACTCCACCAGTGCTCCAAGAAAGATGGACAATCTTCTCTTGCGATTTATTGCCTCTGTAAACCTGCATGCGGGTCTGCTATGGGTTAGTTCTGACTCAGTGGTATTCAGTGGAGCCTGGAGTGTGAAATGAACAAACAAGTAGGTCTTGGAAGAATTACAGACAGAGTGTATGACGGAAGGAAGGACTCTGAGACTTCATTTTAAATACTTTGGGAATGTTACCAAGAGGGACCAGTCCTTGGAAAAGAATATTGTATTTTGAAAGGTGGAGTGTCCATGAAAGAGAGGAAAATGATCAATGAGATAATCAATGAGTAATATGAACAATGGACTTGAAAATGGCAGAAATTATGAGAATGGTGCAGGATAAAAGTGTCAATCAGTTTTATATAGGGCTGCTATGAGGTTCGATTTAACTCAGTAACACTTTACAAAATATATAGTTATGTACCAGGTGCTAAGCCTCAAACTCAAAATGACTGCTGTTGGGTCAGTTCAGACTCATAGGAACCCTCCATCAGGTTCCTAAGGTTTTACATTGTAATGGGTGGAGACTGTCCACCTTTCACCCACAGTGTGGTTGATGAATTTGCATAACTGGAAATGCACAGCATTGGGTTAGCAGCACAACTTACTACAGGCTATGACATCAGAACTCCCTGTACTGAGCAAGCCCAGGCATTAGAAAAAAATGAAAGCTGATTATCTTCAAGTATTTTAAATGTCAAGTGAAGAATCTACTATGGAAACACCTGTCTTCCTTTTGGAAAATTGGTTCTGTCTTACGATATGTTTCCAAAAGCTGTGGTTTTACCACATTAAATAGAATATACTTTGAGATAGCCCCAGAAAAACATCACAGTTCTCACCTGTGAAACATCTGGACAGCATGGGCACTGCCCAGAAGCTGGCGCTGTTCCTCCGCCAGTCTCTGCAGGGAACCCCAGCGGGTATTCACTTCCTGAAAGTGAGCAGACACATCACATTTTATCCAGGGAAGTAATTCTGATACCTCAATGATGCCTGAAGATTGATAAGACTTAAATTGATTTTGTTCTCATGCTATCTCCTTCAGGAATGTGAAGATCCTTCCTGCATAACCTGAGATTGGGTCTCACTTATTCCCAGGAGGTAAAGAAAGGGATTTTTTTCAAATCGATGTTTCATCACAGAACCATCAACTTGGAGCAGCATGGAATGCTTGTGGCTAAAAGATTTCATTGCAACCTTCAAAAAAATAAACGGTGTGTTTCCTTGGTAGATGGAAACGATCATATTTCTCTAGGGGAAATGTAACACTTTTCTGCTTTCTTAACTGAAGAAATCTAACAGTCTCTTAATGCAAAGACAAGCTGTTTAAATCTACCAGCTACTGTGTAGGAGAAAGATGAGCCATCTCCTCCTATGTGATTAACTGTCTCTGTAAACCTGCTGGAGAATCAGCTATGGATAGGTTCAAACTCAATAGTATATAACAATAGTACCCTCTTCTGGACTTGCTTTCTATAAAGAGTAAGTTAATTGTTCACATGCACACTCTTCCTTATTCTATAATATTCACCACAGAAAGGAGCAGATAACTTATTCTAGATAGTTATTACCTTGAGAACTGGACCAGACATCCCATAAATGTATAGGAGATCTTTATAGAGGCATAGGTCAGATCAATGACTTGGGTCCGAATGTGCACGTGTGTGTGTGTGCGCGCGCGTGCACACACACACACACACACACACACACACACACACAGAGATACCTGTAATCTATATGCTAACTTGTATGCATCTCTTGTAAAGTCTGTTTATCAGAATGCACCTCTCCCAGTAAGTTTCCTTGATTATTCTTTCTACTATTATAGCTCCTCTCATTGTTAGTCTGCATTTTCTTTACCTGTAGACATTCCTCTCTGGGCTTTCTATGTGGTATCAGTGACGAATTGAGTAAGTGTAGGTTGAAATTTAAAGATTTCTGACCAGTTCAAATGCATTTATTTATTTATTTTTCAATAAAAAGGCTTTTAAGGTTGCTGGAGAGAACTACATTGTGTTCAATCTAGTGGAACATAACACAGAAAATAAAAATAAAATGTAGAGGTTGTATTATCCAATGTTCCTGTTTTACGGTTGTGAAAAATTAGGTTCTTAGAAATGAAGTGACTTTCCCAAGGTTGCACAGCAAGGCAAAGGTAGAATCCTAATTTGACCCAGATTATGTGGTTGTTCAATGCAGTATTTTAAGAATTACTTAATACTGTTTTTTTTAAACTCAATCTAAATTGTCAGTTTTGATATTTTTTTTATCCAACTCCAACACGCCACATAATAATTATTGTGGAAGCATAATAAATCTGTTCTGAGCAAGTTCCCTTTGACAATAAAAATGGCTGGACTGTACATCCTTGATTTTTATAGTAGCAGCTTCCACATTGCTGCTATGTCCTAAACATTTCTTGTTACCTTGGACAATATTTATATTGATTATTATTTTTAAGAAATGAGAATTCTAGAAGACCAGGCTATTGGAGTGAAGGAATGGAAAAAGTCTTCGTTACCTGTCGAATTTGAGCTCCTTCTGGTGTTAGAAGATCTTCAAATAGTAGATTGTCAGCTACTTTATTGATTTCCCTTAGCCGAGGCTCATTGGTCTTCAAATCCTGAACAAGAAATTTTGCCCAAATCAGTGTAAATTCCCTTCTAAAGATTTACCTGCAAATCTTTTCTTGGCCTAGACTAGATATTAAAGCATAATTCAACCTCAGCTGCAATATACAATGTTTGATTGATCTCTTCTAATTTCTCAATGAGTACCATATATTTTAACTCCCTGATATACAGTGGTTATTCAAAATATGCTGAAGAGTTCATATTTACCTAAAATATGGAATATACTCCATAGTATTTGAGCATTTGGAATTTTTCTGACTGTGAAGGCCTGGTTATTCTTCCTTTCTTCTCACTCAACCCTCATACAAGGATTAGACCTGACACAGCAACTCATCTCATACCAGGCAATGGGAGTACAATAGGGCAATTGAAGAACTTAGGTAGACTAGCACTCTCAGTGTATTTGAGGGTAGTAGTGACTACCAGCCATATGAATGTGTGATTAGTTTCCTGCAACTCCTCTTTCAGTTATTATTGCCTACAGTATCCAGAGAAATATTGGAGCTGCTGAATACTTTGGAGAGGATATTCAGCAAGTATGAAATAATAAATTAAGAGGTTACATGAGAAAAAATATGGGATTAAGGAAAATTATGGTACTTGTCCCAAAGATGTTTAGAGCAAAAGGCGTTTCTCACCGTTTGGAACTCATCGAATTTTTTTTGCAACTCCCAAACATCATCTAGTTCCACCCCAGTGTTCTCTTCCTTCTTGTCTCGGATCCAGTCCAGCATATCCCCTGCCTCATAAGCCAGCAGAAATTCATTGTAACGTTGCCGTAGACGACGCCTGCGTTCACCAGCTAGATCAAGGAGGGTGTGGTACCTGGATGGTAAAGTTAAGAGAAAAAGTAGAAGAAAATATGGAAACAATATTGGCATATTGAGATGAAGAAGAGATGAAGATGGAAAAATGGACAGTATCATCATAGTGAGAAAAGAAGAGAAACAGAGACAAAATGTAGAAAGATAAGGAACTAGGAGAACATAAATTATTGTTATGTGCTCATTGAGTCACCTGTGGCTCATAGAGACCTATGTACAAGAGCTCTGAATTCTGTCCTATTTAGAGCTGATCTCACTGCCTCCAACACCCCTATTCTCTTTATCTCAGATATCATGTTTATCCACCTTATTCTGGGTCTTCTTCTCTTGTACTTCCTCTCCTCCTCCCTCTACCCTTCGAAGAATTATGTCTTCCTCCAAAGACTTTCCACTCCTGGCAACATACCCAAAATATGTGAGGTAGAGCTTCAAAATCCTTGCCTCCAAGGAGCAGCTTGGATTCACTCTCTATAGGACAGAGCTATTTGTTCTTTTGGCAGTCCATAGTGTGTTCAATACTCTTCTCCAGCACCACTGCTCAAAGATATCAATTCTTCTTCTGTCATTTTTGTTCATTGTCCAGCTTTCTGATGCATAACAAGTAATTGCAAAGACCATAGCCTCAATCAGGCAAGTCTTAGTCTCTCGACTAACATCATTGCTCTTTTGCATTCTAGAGAGGTCCCTGACAGCAGATTTTCCCAATGCAAATCAAAACAACAATGAAATATCATCTCACACAAATAACAATGGCAAAGTTCAGCATGGCAGCAAAGAACAAATGCTGTCAAGCATGTGGAGAGATCAGAATTCTTATACACTACTGTTAGGGCTATCCCATGATACAACCACTATGAAAGGCAATCTGTCTTTTCCACAGAAAGTTGGAAATAGAAATACCATTTGACCCAGCTGTTCCACTACTGGGAACACACCCAAAGAAACCAGAAATGCAATACAAACAGATATATGCACATCCCTGAAAATCGCATAATTATTCACAATAGCAAAGAGATGAAAACAGCCCAGGAGCCCAGTAACAACAGAATGGATAGAGAAACTATAGTACATTAACACAATGGAATAATACTCATCATTGAATAATAATGAGCTCATACACAATGTGGAGCTTAAAAATGGCATTTAAACACAGTATGCTAATTGTCAACCGGATAAGATAAAGCAGACCATCAACTATTCATGTGTGAGTTCAAATTAGGGCTAAAGAAAATGAAAACAAATCCATAATAACCAAAATATGACCTTATGTCTATCCCACCTGAATTTTAAAACCATCTTAAGAACAAATTTGAGAATGTGAACTCTAATGAATGAAGATCAGATAGCTGTGTGATGATAGCAAGGATATTACTCATAAAGAAGGCAAAAGATAATGACATAGACAAAAAGGGAAGAAAAGATCAAAATGAATGCCAGGAGAAAACCTGAATATTGCACTAGAACACTAAGAAGCCATATAAAGGGAAGAAATCAGAAAGTTAAAGATTTGAACAGAAGATTTCAAAGTGCAACTCGCAAAGACAAAGCAAGATATTATAATGAAATGTGCAAAGGACTGGAACCTGAAAATAAAAGGGAAGAACTCATTCAGCATTTCTCCAGCTGAAGGAACTAAAGAACACATTCAAGTCTTGTTACAATTTTAAAGAAGCGATGGACAAGTCTTGAAAGATCTAGAAAGCATCAAAAGAAGTTGAACAAATACTGTATATGACCATTATTGTAGAAATAGATAACTAGTAAAACATATAGGAGGATATTAGGAGGGGTATGCAGAGGGGTGGAAAAGGTCAGGAGAGTAATCATGGGGTCACATGGTTTGATGGCTGAAGGGTCTAGATTGGAGAGGTGGGGGCAACCATTGTGAGGGCAATGCATACGAATTTTGTAGGTAAACCAATATAAAATAAAATTTTTAAAAGATTATTGCAAGAAATAAAAATTTTAAAAAATTTAAATGCAATTAAAAAAAAGAAGATGAAGTAATTCATAAGTCATTGTAACAAAAAGAATCAGCAGACATTAACCATTTTAGGATAAACATATGATCAAGAACCAATGATAACAAAGAAAGAAGTTCAGGCTGCTAAGAAGGAATTGGCAAAAAATAAATCACCAGGAACTGATGAAATATCAGTTGACATATTTCAACAAACAGATTCAGCCCTGGATAAGCTCACCAGGTTGTGCCAAGAAATCTGGAGGACAGCTACCTGCCAACTGACTAGAAGAGACCCATATTTATTGTTATTTCCAATAAAGGTGATCCAGCAGAATGTAAAAAATATTGTACAGTATCACTAATATTCAGTGCAAGCAAAATCTTGCCAAAGATTATTAAAAAAAACAAAAAAAACCACCACAACCCTACCAGAACAGTACACTGACAGATATTTGTCAGAAATATGAGTGGAGTTTAGGAGAGGCTGAGTCAGTAGGGTTATCATTGCTTTTGTTCAATGGATCTTGGCTGAAAGCAGAGAGTATAAGAAAGATGTCTGTCTGTGTTTTACCAATTATGAGAAGACATTTGATGGTGTAGATTACAACCAATTGTGGCTAACTTTTAGAAGAATGGGAATCCCAGAACACCTGATTGTGCTCATGTGAGACTTATACCTAAACCAGGATGCTGAGTAAAAAAACAATACTACAGGGTTCAAAATCAAGAAATGAGTGAATCTAGGATGTATCCTTCACCCATACCTTTTCAATATATATGTGGAACAGATCATTCAGGAGGCTGGTCTTTATGAAGATGTCACTAGAACTTGAAGAAGAATGTGGCATCAAGCTTGGTGGAAGACTCACCAACAACTTGCAACATGCAGATGCTATAACCTTGCTCACTAAAACTGAGGACTTGAATGAAGTATTTGCAGTAGAAAGGCAAAGACTGCAGCCTTCAATATCAATTGCTTCTCAATATCAAGAAAACAAAGATCCTCTTTACTGGGCCGATAGCCAGCATCATGATAGGTGCGGGGGAGGGGGGTAAGAGATTGAGATTGTTCATTGTTTCATCTTGATCTGATCCACATCAACACCATTGGCACCAGCAGTCAGAAAAAACAAAACAAAAAAAATCTGCTGTGAAGGACCTCTCCACAGTTCTAAAAAGCAATGATGCCAGTAGTGACTAAGGTGTACCTGATTCAGGCCATGGTCTTCACAATTATTTGCTCTGCATCCAAGAGTTGGATAATAAATAAGGATGCCAGAAGAAAAATCAATGTCTTTGAGTTGTGATGTACGAGAAGAGTATTGAACATACCTGGACTTCCAAGAGAACAAACACGTCTGTGCTGAAGAGGGTGAAACCAGGTTGCTCCTTGAAGGCAAACATTTTGAAGCTCCATCTCAAATACTTGGAATATGTTGCCAAGACAGACCCATCCTTGGAAAAGGATATCATGTTTGGAAGAGTAGAGGTCAGTGTAGAAGAAGATGACTCTGAATGAGATAGACTGACACAGTAACTATGGCAGATGTTGTCAGAAACAATGAAGTTGGCTCAGGATAGAGCAGAGTTTAGAGCCATTGCTCATAGGTTTACTATGAATTATAGTCAACTCAAGAGCACATAAGAACAAGCTTGTAATATATACAATATCAGAAAGAATGTTTTTGCTAGTGGGTTCTCAGAGGCAGAGAGTTGCACAGGACGAGATTGTCCATCTTTCTCTGACAGAATAACTGGTAGGTTTGAACTGCGTGCTTTTGGGTTGGCAGTACAAATTCTTAATCAGTAGGCCATCGGAGTTCTTTTGAAGCAAAAAAAAGACATATTTGCATAAATACCACACAGTTTTCCCTCCTTCAGAACTTACTGGTCCTCAATATACTCCTGGCGCCTGGCAATGCTGCCTGGCTCTTCTCTCCGCCTCCGGGGAAGCATTGGGAACTCATCATGGGCCAATTTTCTGACATAGACAGCTGGGACAAATCCCTGGTGATCATCACTTTCCACCTTCCACCAATCCTGAAGGGAGAGAAAATCCTCATATGTCCTGATGTTCTTGAAAAAGACAGCATTAAGGGAAAGATTTCCACTTTCCTAACAAAGTAGACACAGGCGCAAACTGATAGCCAAGACAAGCTAAGTACCCCTGACATGTGCTTTTCACATTTTATAAGAAAGTAAATGAGGAGTGCATAAGTTCCGGAGGTAAGCATATGAAATCTGTATTATTTTTATGAGTAAGTTAATTGGTTAGTATGAGTATCATAATTTATAATACTAGGAAACTGATGAAGAATACAATTATCAAAGTGTGGCCATGGAAAGAATTTTTTCTTTTATAATGTAGGAAGGGTCAACTTGGAATCCTGGTTGAAATGAGTATGCCATAGAGATGCAAATGAGTTTAACTTATAAATTAACTTCTACAAAGTTATACATACATTTTACTAACATCTCACTTGTCTACAGAAAAGTGTAATGGTTACAAGGCTAGCTTTAAACTAGCTTTTTTGTTGTTTTATATCATCGAGTCAGAACTGACCCATAGCTGACCCTCGAGTGGGTTTTCAGAGGCAGTCAATCTCACAGGAAGAGATTGTCCATCCTTCCTCGACAGTGCAGCTCATGAATTTGGACTGCATCCCTTTGGGATTACAGCACAGTTTCTTAACACTAAAGCCATCAGAGATCTCTTGAAAGCATATTTAAGGGGCTCAATTGCTGTCCTTCTTGTATGAAGTCTTCTGTGAAGAAGCATTTGATCACAGACCCTTACGATAAAGGAAGTTGTAAGAGACAAATACAGTTCTCTAATATTAGAGATCTTTGTCCGTCAAGGAATTCTCTCTCTCTCTCTCTCTCTCTCACACACACACACACACACACACACAGAGTTGTTATGGGCTGTCAAGTCATTGATGACTCGTAGAGACCCTATATACCTGAAATATGCTCTATCTTGTCTCTGACACACCTACCCTCATTACCCCAGTCACTATTTCATGGATAGTCTTCCTTTCTTTCTCTGTCCATCTACCCTTCCAAGTATGATGTCCCTCTCCAAGGTCTGATCTTTCCTTGCAATGTTCCCAAAGTTTGTCAGACAAAGCCTCAAAATCCTTGCCTCCAAGGAGCAGCCTGGCTTCATCCTCTCTAGGATGAACCTATTGGTTCTCCTGACAGTCCATGGTATATTCAACATTCTTCTCCAGCACCACAACTCAAAGGCATCAATTTTCTTTCTATAATCCCCTGTCATTGTCCAGCTCTTTGATGCATAGCAAGCAATTGCGAAGATTATGACCTGGATCAGGCGCAAATTAGTCTCCAGGCTGATGTTATTGCTCTTCAGTACTCTGGAGAGTTCCCCGACAGACAATTTTCCCAATGCAATTTGTCTCTTGATTTCCTGGCTACTGGTTCCAAGAGTGTTGATTGTGGAACCAAGCACACTAAAACAGTTAACAATCTCAATCTCTTCACCATCTATCATAATGCTGCCAATCAGTCCAGTGGTGAGAATCTTCTTTTTCTTGATGTCGAGCTTCAACTCATATTGAAGGCTACAGTCCTTGATCTTCTGTAGCATGTGCTTGAGGTCCTCCTCAGCTTCAGCAGGCAGGGTTGTATCATCTGCATAACACAGGTTGTTTGATACTAAAATCTAACTGGTCTAAGTATGGCAATGTTGCACAAAATTTATCTCCTCTATTTCCTATTCCACTCCAAGAACTCCTAAAAATATGAATTGTCCTAAAATTCACTGTTAATGGTTTTCATTGACATATCACGCTATCCCTTCAGAATGTTTTAAGGATTTTGCTATACTCACCACTCTAAAGTGAATCTTGTAAGAAGATAACATGGCCTAGTGGAAAGGATTTGTTAACAAGAGAGAGAGCCTGGAAATAGCTTATTTGAAAATGGAATATCTTGTTTTTTAAGAGATTAGCTTATTCTCACAATATTACTTCTCAAATTGTCCAAGTATTTTTTTTTATCTCAAAATGAAATCTTTATTACTCACAATAATCTTTTAGACCATCCAGTCCTATATAGTTAAATTGTTCCATGAATTTCTGGTGTAGCAGCAATCTGTGAATTCATTAACATCTATATAATATTCTAGAAATCTTGATTGAAACTAATGTGTCTATGTTCAAAATATCAAAGGCCTTTTCATAAGTCCAGTGGAGTCCATTTATTTTGGAAACACTATGGTCCAGAACTTTCAGGAAATCAGCAACCAGAAAAAATAGCACAATAAGTTAGCCTCTTTATTTAGTTGTCCAGTCCGTTTTTCCCCCTTCCAGCGTATGAACAAATCTTTTTTGTGGTTTTCCTGAAGTTTCAAAGTTGTCAGAAGTTTATCATAGGCCACTCCTTCTCTTCATTTGGTACAACTGCCAACCTGGTGGGCCGCCTTCTGCAAGCCAGTTGAGTATTATGGCCAGAGTGGAGGCTAAAGCCTTCTTACAAGTGGTGGGAGGAATGGACCCAGCAAAGGGAGGTGCCAGTGTCTTCCTCCGGAAGGTGATCACCAGACATCACGTGACCATCCCATTCTGATACCTCTTTCTAAAAGGTGGCCTGGTCATAATCCTGTCTCAGTTGGCTGTGAGTTTGTCCATGGAATCCAGAACGGGAACCGACTTCCTCAACTCATCACAGTGGAGAAGGCGCCGACTCACACAGCCGACACTCCATGTGGCCTCTGAGGCAGCGAATCGCCAACTGCAAATTGTACAAGTATTTTTTGAGCTTCATTGTTGTTCTTGTTGTGTACCATACAGTCAGAGCCAACCCATAGTTGATCCTCCAGTGGGTTTTCAGAAACAGTTAATTGCACGGGAGGAGATTACTCATCCTCTCCTACCACGGAAAAACTGGTGGCCTCGAACAGCATGCCTTCTCTTAGGATAAAAATGTTAATGATATTGTGTTACTATACTCATAGGCATATGGCATAAAGAAAATCAGACTGATAAGACAAAATAAACTACTGAAAAATTTTTATTATGTTCCCCGTCATCCCAAATTTTTTTTGCCCCTAATTATGATTACTATCACAGAAACATAAAAGAGGAAAAGAAAAAAAAATGAGTTAGTTTAGTCCTTTACATCTATAAAAAATAGTCACTTATGGTTTATGGTATTTCGTTTATGGCATTTCAAATCTTTGAAACTTCATAAATTTAAATGTAGATAAGGTTGAACTTTCCCTTCACAGAGTTGCTTAGAAATTGGAAAAGACATTTACAGGATCTTATACAATATTTGGAAAGCAAAGATACCACTCAACTAATAGTTATTTAAGAGAGAGAGAAAAAAGAGAGAGAGAGAGAGAGAGAAGATGCAGAAATACAAACACCTGTCAGTGTTGAAAGAAATGGCTCTGAAAAAAGCATCCTTTTGACAGAAAGAAATTTAGAAGTTACCTTATTGATGGAACTAAGCAAAGTTAAGACATCATCTTTCTTCATGGTGACTTCTCTGGTGCTGCGGGCCTGGAAATCATATAAAGCCATAACCCTCTCTTCTCGACCAGCTCCCTCCACTGGTGCAGCTTGTTGTTGCTGAAGGAAAATAGTGAGAAAGTATGTCAGCCGATCTTTGGAAATACTGCTCTGGTGCTTCCCTCCAGTATCGGGCTGTCGTTTAGCCTGACAGAAGACAATAACCTTCGACTGTTTACTCTCTACCTGACTGCTACTAGTAACAAAGAAATTGCAAAGTGTACTCTTCAGGGTTGTTGTTCCACCCAGCAATTAGAATATAATGAGAACACAAGGTGAACAAGTAAGGTGTCAGTATGGTATCAAATGTTCAGAAAATTCTAAAATGTTCTAAAAGTCACTGATTGTTAAAGTAGTAAAGGTGATATACTTTTCTCAGATGATCTTAAGGGATTTGACATACTGAAAAATAAGAAAATAAACTTATATCATTAAAAATACACTGCATCTCTCTTTGGCAATCAACCTGCTCTCCAAGGGAATTGCTTTGTGTATGCATGTTTGTTTTTTGGTTTTACTTTATGAGAAAGTAAGCTTTCTGAGAGAATAAGCAAAATAAGCACCCTTGTCCTGTGTTATTTTTTATCTCTTCATTAAATTGAAGCTGAAGATATATTTCCCCTTACAAGTCTCATTGATGTTGAAGTATTATGTTTACTGTAAATTAATTCATCCATCTCCTCTTTGTATTTCTCACTGTTTGTCAGAGGCATTGTTATGTCACTGTTATATCTAACTCTGACTTAATTCCACTTTTATGAACCTTCAAAGCATTAACCATTCTCACATTCTTAGCCATTTGCATTTTCCATTTCTTAGAACACTTGACTGTTTTGTATTTTCATACATTTGGTCTTACAGATTATTAACTAGCAAAGCTTTTTCTCCTTGTCCAAACAGTAAACTATGTATTTAATTACTAAAACGGCTAAATTGACTGACATCAGCTATGAAAAATTTTCTATCTTGTACTCCAAAATTTCTTTTCTTTAGGACCTTCTTTCCTATTTGCACAACCAGCATATACTTGAACTTATTTCAATATATGGCTTCCTACCTGATCACATAGGGAATAAACATATGTAAATGTTTGGGGGAAGAACACAAAATTAGGGAGAAATCAAAACAAAGAGACAATGGTGGAAATTGAAAACAATAAAAAGAAATGAAAGTATCAATGAAAGCATGACAACTTTAAAAAAGAATTGTTTTGGGCTATATATTGCCTATAAAGATGATAGATTTTAGTATTTTAACCAAAAATGTTTTCTGGATTGTAGGAAGTAGAACTCTGCAGTACAAAGAATTGATTTGCCTTGTGGTGAGAAAATGTAAATTCCCCATTACCTCTCCTTACCTGGCAGGCTTTTGCCTGATCTCTCAGAGCTTGCATACTATTTCCAAATGCATTGAGATCCACGATGAAAGCCTCATGCTTCTTTAGGAGAGCCTGGATTTGATGGAATGATCATCAGGGAAAATTAGAGTTGATCAAATATTCCTACCTCTTGTGCTTCAACTACTCTATTGTTATTTTGATCATATCCCATTCCGCCCAGTGTTAAGTTCTTTTTAAACACTAACTTTGAAGATACCAAGAAAATGTTGGTTTTAGATGTGATCAAGTCTACTCCAACTAAAACTACTCTAAAATAAGCATTAACAAATGATTAACAATCTAAATTTTTTTTTATAAAATAATAATAACTCATAAAACTCAACCATGTAACCAAACTTTCAGGCAAACAAATGAACAATACTAGGAAGAAACCCCTTAAAACAATCAAGCATGCAAAGTAAAAAAGGCAACATGTCCAGGGATAAAGTTTAAAATGCAAAGACTAATGGAGACAATAATCACAGGGAGGAAGAAGGATGAGTATGTTTACAGAAAACAAAATAAGTATGTATAGTTGAATGGAAAAATCCCTTCTTTCTATAAACTTTCACTTAAATTGACAATTTAAAATTAAAAAAAAAATCAGAAGGATACACATCACTGCTAAAAAGGGATGCTGCTAACAACATTTTATAGGATGAATTAGTAACATAAATGTTGATGTTAAAGTCAATTATTTTCAATGCTGAATGTTCATGAAATATTATTCCATCTTCATATATTCCCAATGAACAAAGCAAATAAATTGTTATAAAGGTTAAGAGTCACCTTTAAGCTTCTTTTAACCACAAAATCTCTGTCTAGCTTTACTTTAATACATTATATACTTAATACCTTGAAACCCTGCTGGGTGTGTGAAAGTCAAAGGTTACTCTGAAAATTTAAGATGGAATACCATCATGTAAATCTTTTTCATGCCTTTTTGAATTTATATAATTTCTAAAATGTTTATGGATGTTAATGGGATTATGAAAGTATTTTTTTTCCTCTGAGGATATTTCTGAAGAAAAACATAAAAGTAAAAATTTTGGAAAGTACAATCTAGTAGAATCTGTAATGATCAGACAATCCAATAAAACTATAATAAATTTAGTACCATTTGATGAGGCAATGATATTCACTGACACAATGAATGGCTCAACATTACTTATGAGACTACGTCCTATGCCTAGCCCCACCTTACCCCAGCTGTTTCTTCATCAGCACCATAGTTAGTATTGCTTGCAATAGGTTCTTTCTCTCTAATCCATGCTTCTGCTTCATTCAGATCAGCCAAGTATTGCTGTAACTGGACATTAGCCTCAAGATCATTTTGCCTTCTATTAGCCCGAGCCTGTAGAGACTCCATATTCTTATTCAAACTCATCACTCTAGAGGCCACATCTTCTGCAGCAAAGTGTCCTGTGGAGTAGTTATAGAAAAGTTGAGTGTTATCTCCATTAATGCCCACTGTACTGTAATCTATTTGGTAAAATCAGGAAGAATGAAAACAGAGTAATAAAAGCTACTTCTACTTAGACACAGTAAAACATCTCTGCTTTTATATATTGTTTCTTATCAAAGAAGAATGTTATTCTTGGAATCCTTTCATAATTTCAAAAGCTATTGATACTGTTATGTGCTTGCGGTTCAGCTAAGAATAAAGCATAGCAATCCTGTGAATAACAGATCTGAACCCTGTCATATTTTGCACCATTCTCATGATCTCTGACAGACCCATTGCTGTAGTACTGTGTCACTCCATATTGTTAAGGGTCTTCCTCTTTTCCCTAACCCTCCACTTTTTATAGTATGATGTCCTTTTCCAAGGAATTGTTGTTATTGTTATATTCTGTAGAGTTGAAACTGACCCATAACTGACCCTCCAGCAAGTTTTCAAATACAGTAAAACATATGGGAGGAGAATAGCCATCATTTTTCCATCGAGCAGCTGGTGGATTTGAACTGTGTGCCTTTGGTTTGGTAGTGCAACTCCTATTCTTAAGCAATCAGTGCTCCCTTTCCAAGAAATAGGCCCTCTTAAAAGCATGCCTAAAATATGGAAAATGAAGTTTTGCTATCCATGCCTTTAAGGAACACTTGGTGATATTTTCTCTGAGACATCTGTTTGTTCTTTTGGTAATCCATAGGATGGCCAGTACTCTTCTCCAACATCACAACTCAAAGGCTTTGTCCCCTCTAGGGGTATAGTCTCCAGCTGCCTCAACTGCAGGCACATGGCTCACCATTGATCACCATCTTTTATATTATCAACAGCTGTGAGGCCAACATTAGAAGGAGAGCTGACCAAACTGTGGCGAGACTATGGAGAGGCACGGACTGATGGAACCCTGGACACAGAGCCGGAATTAAAGGTTTTGCTTGTGGAATGATTCAAGGAAGAACTCTGTTGTGAATACTTTGAGATAAAGCTTGCTGGACAATTGAAGAGACCAGAGGGAGGGAGGCATCTTCTTGCATTTTTGTTGCTGGACTAAACCTGGACTTTAACTCATTGTCTGAGAAGCAGTCTGAGCTAACTGAGGAATTGTGTCTTGCATTTAACTTAGCTTAGAACTGCTGCTTTCTAAACCTAGAATTTCCCTGTGTGATCTCCTTTGCCTCCACTGCCACCAAATTCTTTCCTTAATAAACTCTACAATAGTGAGTAAAATAAAATCTTTCATGCAATTTGCAATGAACATTGGATGTAGTGGGTGGTAGAGTTAGTTGTTACAGAGTAGGGATTCATGTTTGACTATGTAGCTATTAGTATGGTACTGTGGATGTTATTAGTGGGGTTGGTAGACCTTTGTAGAGTTAGTTATGGTTGGACTTGGCCATTCCCACATCCTTACTCCTTTTACAGGCATTAATTCTTCCATCTTTCGTATCCATTATCTAGCTTTCAAATTCATAGCAAACGATTGAAAAGACCCTGGTGTAAATTGGGTACACCTTCGTCTTTAAACTATTGAGGTCTACCTCCCAATTTCCTTGTTAGTCTATATCTGTTGATAGTTGCTATATCAAAAAATTAAAATAGAAGTTTTTAAAGAAACAAAAACTAAAAAAAAATCCCACGCAAATATGCAACCATCAGTCATCAGAGAAATAATATATTAACACTTCCTGAAAGCTCTGGTAAACCTCACAGTACTCTTAAGAAAAGATGAATTAAGAAAAGCAAATCTTTTAACTATTATAAAAACATTTTTACTTTATGTTCCTCTTGAAACGATCTCAAGGACCACAAAATGCCCCAGACTATTCCTGAAGAATCATTTTCATAGAACAAGGATGAGTGTACAAATATGCACCATAACCAATCAAATGGCATGTTGTTGTTAGATGCCAACAAGTTGAGTATGACTCATAGTGACCCTATGAACAACAAATCAGAATCCTGTCCTTTCCTGTGCCATCTTCACCACCTCTGATACACTGGAACCTATTGCTTTATTCACTATGCCAATCCATCTATCCATTTCTATGAAAGTCTTCCTCTCTTTCACTGACCATCCGCCATTATAAGAATGGGATTCTTTTTCCAGGGAATAGCCTCTTCTATCAAGTACAATGTATGACAGATAAACCTTTACCATCCTTGCTTTCAGTGAGCACTCTGATTGCACCTTTTCCAAGACCTACCTCTTTTTTTCTTTTTTCCTTTTGGTAGTCCATGGGATATTAAGTGTTCTTCTCCAACACAATTCAAAGGCATCAATCAATTCTTCTGTCATGCTTATTGACTGTTCAGTTTTCAGATGAATAGCAAGTAATAGAAAATATAGTGGCCTGGATTGGATACACTTAGTCTTCAAACTGACATCATTGCTCTTCAGTATTGTGGAGAAGTCCCTGATAATGGACTTTCGCAAAGCAATGTTGTTGTTGTTGTTGTTATGTGCCATCAAGTCATTTGCGACTCATAGCAACCCAATGTACAAGAGCCCTAAATGCCGTTCTATCCTGTGCCAACCTCACTGTTTCAAACACATTAATTCCCACCACTCCACTCACAAAATTGGTCCATCTCATCCAGGTTCTTTCTCTCCTGCGCTGTCCCTCCATGCTCCCAAACATGATGTCCCTCTCCAAGGACCAGCCGCTCCTTGCAACATACCCAAACTATGTCAGACGAAGATTCAGAATCCTTGACTCCAGGGAACATTCTGGCTTCACCTTCTCCAGGACAAACCTGTTTGTTCTCATAGCAGTCTATGGTATATTCAACACTCTTCTCCAGCAACACAGCTCAAAGGCATCAATTCTCTTTCTGTCAACCCTATTCACTGTCCAGCTCTCTAATGCATAGCATGTAATTGCAAAGACTATAGCCTGGATCAGGCACACTTTAGTCTCCAGCCTGACGTTGTTGGTCTTCAGAACTCTTGAGAGGTCCCTCAGAGCTGACTTTCCCAATGCAATTCATCTCCTGATTTCCTGGCTACTGTTACCAAGAGTGTTGACTGTGGAACCAAGTAAATGAAAACTGTTAACTATCTCAATCTCTTCACAGTCTATACTGATGCTGACAATTGGCCCAGTGGTGAGAATCTTTGTTTTCTTGATATTGAGCTTCAATCCATATTAAAGACTGCAGTCCTTGACCTTCTGCAGCAAGCGCTTCAGGTCCTCCTCAGTTTCAGGGAGCAGGGTTGTGTCATCTACATAACACAGGTTGTTGATGATTCTTCCACCAATCCTGATGCCACACTCCTCCCCGTACAGCCCAGCATCTTGGATGATCTGTTCTGCATACAGATTGAAAAGGTATGGAGACAAAATACTTCCCTGACTCACCCCTTTTTGATTTTGAACCATCCAGTGTCTCCCTGCTCTGTTCTGACGACTGCCTCTTGGTCCAAGTATAAGTTTCACATAAGCACAATCAAATGTTCTGGTATTTCCATTCTTCTCAGAGTCAGCCACAGCCTGTTGTGATCCACATAGTCAAAAGCCTTTGCACAGTCAATGAGTCATAGATAAACAATCTTCTGGTATTCTCTGCTTTCTGCCAAGATCCATCTAACATTAGCTATAATATCACTAGTACCACGACCTCTTCTAAATCCAGCCTGCACATCTGTCAGTTTTCCGTTGACATATTGTTCCAAAAGTTTTTGGATAATTTTTAGTAGAATCTTGCTTGCATGTGATATCAATGATATTGTACCATAATTTCCACACTATTGGGTCACCTTTCTTTGGAATGGGAACAAATATTGATCTCTTCCAATCAGTTGGCCAGCTGGCTGTCCTCCAGATTTCCTGGCACAACTTAGTGAGCACATCCAGGACAGTGTCTGTTTGTTGAAATAAATCACTTGGTATGCTGTCAACTCCTGGAGCCTTGTTTTTTGCCAATTCCTTCATAGCAACTTGAACTTCCCAAAGCAATACATCTCCATAACTCCTGACTGCTGGTCCAAGGGTGTTGATTGTGGATCCAAGCAAGATGAAATCATTAACAGTTTCTATTCTATCTCCATCTATCATTAAGTTGTCCACTGGCCCACAGTGGTAAGGACCTTTGGCTTCTTGATGTTAAGATGCAATACATATTGAAGGCTTTAGTCTTTGATCTTCTACAACAAGTGCTTCAGGTTCCACTCGCTTTTAGCAAGCAAGGTTGTGTGTATAAAGTATGTTGTTAATGAGTCTTCCTCTAATCCTGATAGATTCTTTTTCTTCTTCTATTTTTAATTTTATACTGGTATATTTACAAAGTTCAAATACATTGTTTTTTTCACACCAGATATTTCCCATTTCCTTCACAGCCTCCACTCATCAAATTATATGACCCTAGGATTAATCCCCCCTCCATGCCCACCCTCATCCCTCTGCTTCCATCCCCTGCCTTGGATCCTCATTCTCATTCTACAATAATGGTTTTATACAGTACTTGTCTTTATGAGACTGAGTTAGTTCACTCAGTATTATGCTCTCCAGTCCCTCCCAAGTTAGATAGTACTTTACAAAATCATTGATCCTGCATGTTACACCATATTTCATTGTGTGAATTGAATGTACCATAATTTCTCAATCCATTCCATTAATATTGCACATCTGAGTTGTTTCCATGTTCTTGCGATGGTGAATAATGTTGCTATGAACATTGGTTTGCAAGTTTCCATCTATGCCTTAGTTCTCATTTGCTCAAGGTATATTTAAAGCAGTGGGATATCTGGGTCATATGACATTTCTATGTTCAGCTTTTTGAGGAAGTGCCAAACTGCCTTCCAGAGCGGTTGTACCATTTTGCAAACCCACCAACAATGTATAAGAATTCCTATCTCTCTTATTGCCAGTAATTTTGAGCATTTCTTCATGTGTCTGTTAGCCATTCAAATATCTTTGTCTGTGAGAATTCTTTTCATGTCTTTTGCCCATTTTGTAACTAATTTATCAGTCATTTTATCATGGAGGCCCAAGAGTATTCTGTTAACTTTTGTTATGAGACTCTTGTCTAAGATGGTATTGCCAAATGTTTGTTCCCAGTTGGTAGGTTTTCTTCATACTGTTAAGGAGGCTTATAGAGAGCAAATAATTAGTGAAGCCAGACTCTCTAAAGAAGAATGTGGCACCTTAAAATAGTTGTAAAGTTGTAAAGTTAATTTGGATTCATAGTGATCTCATGTGTATAAAAGGTTAATTAGCAAAAACTATATTTCACATGATTTTCAGTGAATGTGTTTCCAGAAATAGATATCTGGGTCTTTTTTATATAGACTTTTCAATTGGTAACTGAATTTTTCTCAGTTGTCTAAATGTTAACCTACATTTTTGAAAGCTAGATTTGGTTGACATCAGTTTATTATTTAATGAATAGATGGAATCTGCATTGCCTATGTCATGTACCATCTATGATGTTTGGTTCAGAAAGGAAGAAACACTCTGGCACTGTATCAAGTAAGAACTTGAAAGAAGTTCAGTACAGTTCAAAATAAAACTAAAATGGTACTAGGATCCCAAGTGCTATCTTCTCAGATCTGTTGTTATGTGCCATTGAGTTGACTATGACTCATAAAGACCCTATCCTGAGTCAATCTCACTACCTCCAACATAGCTACCCCTTGCCACAGTTACTTTGTCAATTCATCTCATCAAGGATCTTCTCTCCTGAGCTTATCTTTTACCCTTCCAAGTATGATGTTCTTTTCCAAGGACTGGGATCTCCTGACAATGTGCCCAAAGTATGTGAGATAACGTTTTACTATTCTTGCTTCCAAAAAGTATCCTGGTTTCACTTTCTCTAAGGCAGACCTGTTTGTTCTCTTGGCAGTCTATGATACATTCAGTACTTTCTCCATTTCCACACTCAAATACATCAATTCTTGTTCTGTCATTCTTAGTCATTGTCTAGATTTTAGACGCGTATCAAGTTACTTTGAAAAACAGGCAAATCTTAGTCTTTAAGCTGACATCTTGCTCTTTAGCATTCTGGAGAGGTCCTTGATAGCATATTCCTCTTGTGGAGCCATTGGTGGATTTGGCTGCCAGAGAGGTGCAAACTTTTGAGTTAGCAGCACAACTCCCTACCAACTGCACCAAAGCGACACACCAACGAGCCAAAGAGACTTTCTCCATTGGTGGGAAGATGAGGATCTTCAAATTACCTTTGATTTACTCCCTCCTCAGATCTAGAGGATCTAGGCTTCGTCTGACATACTTTGGACACATTGTAAGGAGAGACAGGTCTTTGGAGAGGGACATCATGCTGGATAGAGTAAAGGGACAGCGCAGGAGGGGAAGACCCTCTATGAGGTGGATTGATTCAATGACTGGGGTAATCGGGATGGGTGTGTCAGAGGCAAGGTGATTGGCGCAGGATAGAGCAGGGTTTAGAGCTGTTGTACATAGGGTCGCTATGAGTCGCCAACGACTCGACGGCACCTAACAACAACAACAACAGATCTAGAATAGCAGCAATTTTTCCAACCCAGTTTGAATCATACATACCTTCCTCTACCATTTTGTTTCCTCTCTCTGTTATCACGCGAATGCGTGGCTCATGGCTGGCAATGTCGGATAGGATAACTTGATGCCTATTCAGGAGATTCTTGGAGGAAATCAAGTTTGTACCTAAAAAAGAAAGAAATTTCAAGTTACAAGAGTATAACAATATATGCAATGAGTAAAAACTTTTCATTTTGTTGAATTCTTGGACCTACAGTCAGTCTCTTTATTTGAAATTTTAATCAGTATGTATGTATCCAGAAGTTTGCATCAACACAATTAACTCAGCTTTGTTCTTACTCTTATTTATTCATGCTAAGAAAATTCAGTTAGTTATTTCATGAAAGATTATAATAAAATCACTTTTCCTTGAAGATAAGTAGGAAGGGAATTTATAAGGCCAAATTTCTGACATAAAGCAGCTAATTCTCTTTTTCATAGCATGAAAAGGAGAATTTACCACTTGCTATTTTCAACATACCTCTGGAAACTCTATGAACTTTGAGAAATGATGATAGTTATAGAAAGGCTACAAGGTTTTTTTCTTGTTCATAGGATCACTATGAGTCGAGCTCAACTCGAGGGCAATCAACAACAATTTCTGTAGACATAAAAGAATTCTTAAATCTCTTAGACATAAGTTTTATCACCATGATAAGAATATAATACTAATTTATCTCAAAATTTTATTTGTAAAATGTAGAAATGATAACTGTAAAGCAAAAACCCCTCATTGTGTTTGAGTAAAAATTGACTCATAGCTGACCCTCAAGGAGGATTTGAACCATGACAAAAGCATAGCTCTTGGATTAACAATGTTATAGACTATACAAATCTTTATCACTTGCTATGCATCTGAAAGCTAGATAATGAATAAAGATTTCAGAAGAAGAATTGATGCCTTCGACCTATTGTGTTGTAGAAGAACACTGAACCTCCCATAGACAGCCACAAAAACAAACAAATATGTCTTGGATAGGGTGCAAGTAGAGTGTTCTTTGGAGGTAAGAATGATCAGGCTTCACCTCATGTACTTTGGGCATGACACTAGGAGGGTCTATTCCTTGGAGAATGCTGGGAAGGGTGGAGGATTGGTGAAGAAGAGGAAGAACCTTGACCAGGTGCATTGGCGTGGTGGTAGCTGCAATGGACTCTTCTGTATCAGGAAGTGTGAGGATGGCACAGGATAGAACAGATAGAACAAGGTTCAGATCTTCCCCCCCCATAGGGTTGCTCTGAGTCATACTTGACTTGGTGGCATCTACAATAACAGCATAGAATGTGTCACCAGAGCTAACACTCCAGCAGCTTTTTGGAGGCTGTAAATGTCATGGAGGAGATTGCCCATATTTATCCTTGGAACTACTGGTGAATTTGAACCAACCACCTTTAAGTTAGCAGCACAACTCCCTACGGACTATGTCATCAAAGTCAGATACTGTTCTAATTTTTAATGTACCATGAAGTTGGAAATGACACATAGCTAACCCTCCAGCAGGATTCCAGAGGCTGTAAATCCCATGGGCATAGACTGGCCATCTTTTTCTCATAGAACATCTCATGGATTTATATTATGCCTTTGATACTTCAACTTTTTCATCCTTGTTATAACTCATAATTAGTAAGACTTGGGATCAAACTAAAATAAAAGGGAGGAAGGGCACTAACAACCTAGAAAGAGCATTTGATACCTGAAATACTAATTATAAATTCTTAGCTAAGGATCTTCATAAGAAAAAAGTATCGAGAAACCCCAGACAATCCAAAACCAAAAGAAAAAAAATCAACCAAAACCCAAACCCCAAAAACCAACATCCAAAAATTCCTCATAAAATCAAAACAAAAAATGTAGTAAGGTATAGAATGTTGCACAAACACCCTGAGATCTTTAATCCTTCCCAGAGACCCTAAAGTCATTGTGCTGCTTATGTCTGGTTTTGGGGAGGTGATTTATTAAGTAGGTTATTTTCTTTTTATTTATTTTTTTTATATTCCTTGTGGATAATAGGACATATTTTCATGAGTCTGAAGTAGAGGAGCTAAGAATAAACTTTCTACACTCTCAATGCATACTAGATATATCTCTCCATCAATCTGAAGACATCTTGACCTTTACTTGTAGCACAAGCAGCTCAAGTTGTACCCACCAAGATGAGTGGAAGCTGCTGAGGGTTCTGTTTCTTGGATCCAGGCTTCCTCATCCTCAGTGTCTCTGCAGATCTGTTGCAAGCGGAGGCGATCAATGAGTTCATTTTTCCGGGTTACTAGAGGCTCTTTCAGGGCTTCAAACCTTGACAACAAGGACTCCTGCTTTGCACGTATGTCCATAGCATCAGGGTGGTCTGTTTCTTCAAAATATGCAGCCAGGTCTGTGAGGGTGTCCACTTGATCCTGAGGGAGAAATAGGAAAGAGTCTCAAGAGGAACATGTTGGAGTTTAGAGGAAGGGCACATGAAGAGAAACAGCATGTATTAGGTTAGCACCTCTAATTAAATCCAAGGAAAGAGTGGGAAGGGTTAGCATAGCAAGGAACACCTCATCTAAGAGCAATTTAAGAGACAGTAATTCTCAAACTATATTTCTCCAGTAGGGTAAAAAGGGAAGCCACTGACTGGGAAAAAGTATTCGGTAATATCATATCAGATAAGGGACTTATATCCAGAACTTATGAAATACTTGAGCACCACAAGATAAAGGTAAATAATCCAATAGAAAAATGGGCACAGGATATGAACAGGCA